GGTCTTTCGAAACCTTATCATTTGCGAGAAACTGCTTCATTGTTCAAACAAAAATTGTTCACATTAGCGATCAAGAAATCAATGATGATTACTAACTGATCGCTTTCGTTTTTTTTATTTGCTTGATTTCTTTGCTGACTTTTATCGTTTGCTTACGTCATATATTTATCAACATTCTAGTTTGCAATCTAGAAAGCACTTAAGGTAGATTCTGCATTCTGGACATCGGAATCAAAAAGCAAACGAAATTATCATTAAATTCCGCGAACCAAAGTGAACGCTGAAAATTAATTAAATTCGCTATTCATTCCCAGTGTCAGAAATCTTTCGCTCTTTGAGTACAAATTCATCTCATTTTTATTAATCATTTATTTGTTCACGACCAATTTAACACATAGATGAGCGCATGAAATGAAACGAAGTGATTCCATGAAAAAGCAACAGATCTCTTGACTGATTCGCTTTCGTCAAGGTGAGCCAAACTTAGCAGCGATAGCAAATCAAAAGAAAAGATCATTTCTAATCAGCCGTTTCCATAGTAACGCGATTGTTGACAGTCTCAAAGTGATCACATGTTTTATTAAGGTAGAAACACATGAAATATGATATTATTTGATGAGCAACTTTTTCAGTGAAACAAACAGAAAACAATTATAGCAATGGTTGGTTGATAAATAGTGGATAAATCGTTTTATTGTTTAGTGAGCATATGCACAACAAAGCGATGAATTCCATTCAAGAGTAATGAAACTCAAGAATGAGATTAATACGAGTGTGCATTGCATGGAAGTGCATGCAGTCAACTGCTTAATTCACTATGAATATACTCCATACAAATGCAATAATTTGATATTTGGAAATGTGGACACAAATAATGAGGATCGTTAGAAAAATCTTTATGAATTAAGGACGAGTCAGCATTGAACAACAAAGAATAATAGCAAATGAATGATTTTTGTGAATATGAACGAATCAACATTAGGTCACAAACACGATGTTATGCACATGCAAAGAATTATCAAACTGAAGCGATTAGTCAACTAATTTTAATACCCGTTCAATTAAGTGACAAAGTTCGAAGCAATCAAAAGATACAATATTCATTCGAACAAACTATAAAGAAGTTCACTAGTAATCAACAACACCACAGTATTGCATGCTGGGGACCGATAAAAATGATATGAAAAGGACTGAAAATACCCTGGAACCCTGGAGAATGGTTGTGAACAAATAGTCATTAAATGGCCTAGATATGGTCTAGACCAACATTAAATGCTGGCTAAATTCACGACGTATAAGCTTTCGGCATGAGAATACAATGCAATTAACTGTGGGATTGATATTAACGAAGCGTATATATCAAACTATACAATATAATACAAATGATTTACGATGATACTTCATTGCGGCCTATAACTGTAGCACAATACTGCGATGGTACAACCTGAAATGCCGTTCCAGATGTTATAGGCTCACCGTCAACCGCTATATAACCACCACATCCTTCCAACGGTTCAACGCGGCAACCGCGTACTGGTATTATCTGAACAATTATCTTTGATTCCAACAATCATCTAAATGAAAAACAGAGAAAGAATCAAGGAAGCAATTGGCGATTGAACGACACAATTTAAATGTCATTTGATAGTGAAGCCGATACAGTTCAATCTTGATCGCTGAACCGTTCTCTCGATGGAACACTACTGAAGATGAGCATATGGATAGAGACAAATAAACACATTGTCCGAACCTGTAAGCAAGGATAGTCGAGATGATGCGATCCATCAATAGTAATCATCATACATCCGACTTGTAACCTCGACTTGACTGTGTTCCAATCAAGTAAAGTCAAGTAAAGAATTGGCTCATCCAATCGTGCTGACGGTATATATGGAAGATCACTCCCTGAAGTTCAACTCCACTTTTTCAACCAACATCTATTTTTAAAAGATTTGCGACGGAACAAGGAAGTGAATTGTTTTAATTCAGTGGTGCTATACTTTGAATTACAATGTACCTTGAAACATTTATAAAGCAGCATTCGAACGTTTTGAGTTCAAGCAGATCATACGGTTTATAGCAGAATTTCGATAAATTTGATCGCACGTAAAAGCTTATAGAATGACAGTGATAGTGAATGAAGTGGGACAAAATTGCATAAAATAAATGCGATAATATACCTAGGTGAGAAATGTTCACTGCACAAACAAACACAAATTCTCCTTCTATTATAGTCCAATCCGATGGAACTGGTTCACCCAACGGTGGCATCTGAAAGTTTTTACAGAAATAGTGTGC